TCTTTCGAGAGGTCGGTGGAAGGGGAAGTGGCAAATCCTCGGATCCGTCCTGGGAGGAAGCTGGGCAAATTCCTTCTAAAACAATGATAGGTGTAACACTTGCTTTTTGTCCACGATGAAATTCGCAGACTTGATCTGATGTTTCTGTCATGCAAGTCACAACAACTTAAACATATGAGTTTCTTTTTTGGTGTCAACAAGAGTGCACAAGGTACTGGAATGAGATTCAGTGGTCGAAATATATAATAAATAGAGTTAAAAATGTCTTTTATTAATTATGTTTTGTTAAATGGTAATAAAATTAAGTAAACTTTAACCAAATGTCAATATTTTGTTATTAAATAATGATAGCTGTAGTGAAGCCGCGGCAATGAATTACTAACAATATTCTAAATGTTAATAGTCTTGTTACGATGGAGGACACTACAACGAAGGTATGTGTTGTTTTTACATCTTTCTTTATTTCATTGATAAATTATAATGATTTTGCCACCTGGAGTTGGGCAATAGCTTTTTGTCTGGATGTAATTTTCTTCGCAAAAAGAAAACACCATCACCATTTTTTAGAATATATTAAGGGGAAAACAGTATTCGATAACTGTTAAATCTTTCAAAAATAAACTGATTTTGTATGCTGGATGGACCAAAGAAATAGTTTTAACCTGCGCAAAATAATAATAATAATATACATTTAATGAAAATTAAGCTAGCAAATCATTTTTGTAGAAGAAAACATTCAACAGAATTATTTAATTATGTATTATTACTGTTTGTAATTTAAATCATTTTGATTTGCAAGCAACAAAATTTCAGCTAGTAATTATCTCTTTATAATCTACAGTATTATGAATACCAATATATTTTTAATTATTATTTTACTTGCTATTATGTAAGTTTCATAATCTATTTTAAGCTCTTAAACTTGAGTAAGTTTCAGTATGAATTTGTATTTGCAGTAATAATTTTTATCCAGAATTCTAGTTCTTACGAACCCACCTTCCTAGCCTCATGTACTACAAAAGGAAACAACCAATCTTAAATGCAAAATTCATTTTCAGGAAAATTATACAACTGATTTAAAAATTACAAACTAGCTACATAGCAGGAGGAGCACCTAGTAGACGGAAGGATACAATCCAGCCACCAGGGGTTATCCGCTGCAAAAGGCGAAGTTATTCTGTCTGTAAATCTATTTTCACTACTTCTCTTACATTATTACTCTGCAGCATTTTTCAGGCCTCTTGTATTTTTTTTTAATTCCCCGAGATACCGATTTTTTACTTAAAAAAATACATAGGCAGCACCCAACCGATGTCGAGCTAGAATCGGCGTTTTTTTTGTCAATGTCTAAGGCAGTTCTCGTGTGTGTGCTTTTTCGGCTATTTATAATGATATACCGAAATGTTTTTTTTTTTTTTTTTTTTTGTTTTTTTGTTGCTTTTTATTTGTTTTCTGCAGTCTGTTTAGATTTATTTCATTTTTTTCTACTCTTAAAATTTAGAAATACCTCCAAAAAAGTTACCCGCCTATGACAGCAGAAAAAGATATGTTCTGCAAGAAGAAACAAAGAAACAGTCAAGAAACACCCAAAGGCATCACCTTTTTCTAGTCTTAAATCAAGCAGTAGGCTGTTTAGTCCTAAAATCAAACAGTACGATGCAGGCTCAACTTTTTCAGATACATGTAAGATTAAAAAACACTTAAAAAAAAAAAAAAAATTCAAAACTACTGACTTTAATTTGGTCACCATCCTGGAATTAATCGTCTCCATCCTGGAATCTAAACTGCGACACTTGAAAAAAATGGCCCACATTATGTCATTACCATGATCTCTTTACCGTTCAAAACTTTAATAAAAGATTTCAACACTATGAATAACGCTTTGCTCCCTTGAGCAGTAACTTTTCTACTATATCTTCCGCTGCGAGTGTCTCATTCCTTCGCTTTATCATCTATCTTGTCGAAATGTGATAAGTTGTATATAAAATTGTGGGAGTGCTTGTCGCACTCATAGTGACGCGAAAAGGAGAATATGTGTCCTAACAACTTATTCATCAAGAAATAAAATTATATGTCTTGTTATCTGCACCGCTGTCTGCAAGTTTCTTCTTCCATTACGCATCCTATTTGTATGCCAACATCTCTAAATAGTATCTCGGTCGTGACTGAAAAATGACTAGTACCTTTTCTCCTCAAGTCATCTTTAACAAAAATATTACATATATGCTCAGATCCGTCTATGGATTGCTAGAAGCGAAACTCACTAAAAATACTGTACATTCTGAAGGAAAAAAAAAAAAAAAACTCTTAACTCTAAGAGAAAATATGAACTCAAAAACCAAGATCACAGTCACAATCCTTAAGCCTTGTTAGTCTTAAGTAATAATGTCACACTCAAAGCTGGGAATACTGAGAATGTTGACAGTAATTTTGAAAAACTCAACAAAAATTTCATCAACTAGAATTATCCAGCACACTGGTCAGATGAATAATCAATAGTGAAAGCGATCACATCATTATGAATGGGTCACATCCTATTAATAAGCAGTACAGTTTTCCAAAAGATGCCAATAAACATAATATCTCTGTGGCAATGATGCACGGGAAAATAAACCATAGTGAAAATTTTCTTAGAAGGTGGTTTACTTATTCAGAGAGCACCAATAAAATGTATTGCTTTTGTTGCAAAATTTTTGGCTTTCCCAATGTGTCAGTGTTAAAAAAAACTGGAATTTATAACTGAACGCCTTCATGCTCCTGAATACTTACCAGTTGCACGAAAAAATCCAGTATGTCACCTAGGATGCCTAAAGAGAAATGGTTTAAACCTCACTATGATCAAAAGTTAATAAAATTAATATTAATTGATAAGGAGCTTCAATCACAAGTGCGAAAAGATGAAGAGCACTGATATAAGGTTTTAAAATTTTTAATAAGTATCATTCAATATTTAGCTAAATGCAGTTTGGCTTTAGAAACATTATTTCGCTATTATACCAATACATTATTTGCACCACACAATGGGATTTTTTAAAGTCTTATTGAGTTATTTAGAAATTTGATTTAACAATGAGCGAACACACGCCGTGTTGTGTCTAAAGAAGCTTACGTTTTCTATTGTGGTAAAAATGTTCAAAACAAAATAATCTATTTGTTGGAAAGTTCTTTTTTAAGAAAATTTACTTAACCGAGCTAGATCAATAATTTTTTTACTCTTCTTCTAGACTATGACGCTAGATAAAAGTCATGTGGATCAGCTTTCGTTTACAATACGATTTGTAGATGTAGAAGATATTGCAACAAAGAAGCATTTTGTCAGCTATAAAACTGCTATAGAAACTACGTATCAAGGATTATAATGAAAGTACACTTGATTTTCTGAGAGATAACAACCTAGACAAAAGAAACTGCAAAGGCCGGGGCTGCGATGATGGTTCAAATATGTAAAGGAAAAATACAGGAGTTCAGGCATGATTAACGAAAGAAAATCCACAGACGTTTTACATTTCATATGGATGTGATAGCCTATACTTAGAGGTCTGGTAACAGTGCACCAAGTTGCCTGGAATTCACTTTTTTTTTTTTTTTTCCCTTCTTTCTGCTCTAGCTTTTTTTCTGTTCTAGTTGTTTTTCTGTTTTTCTTTTAGCGCATTTATGTTTTCTGCCTTTCTTAGGCGATGGCATGCACTGAAAAAACATGTTAACTGCGTAACTGCAAAGCTTTTATGCGAAACCAAATCGTAGTGCAGAACAGAATGTAAAAACATCAAAAATAAAATCGTAGGAATTCGAGAACCTCTTATATGAATTTTCAGAAATATCTGCATCTGATCTCGTAGCGCGAAATGTAACAGAGACTCTAGTAACACAAATAAAAGATTACGGTTTTTTACAGATGAAAAATATCCGGTATGATATCTAAGCAGAATAAATGTTGTTAGCAAAACTATGCAGAATACATCTGTGGAATTATCTACTGCAGTTTCACTAGTGAATTGTGTCGCTGATTATTTAACTGATTATTGTGCAAATGGGTATGAAAAAGCACTAGAGTCAGCAAAAGAATTCGCTACAGTATTAAACGTAAAGCCCATTTTTAGAAGTAAAACGATAAGAAAAGGGGAAGGAATTTTACTTCAGAATATGACACTAAAATTATATTGTATGCTCTTTCCTTAGCCTCAGTCGAGCATATAACTTATTTGTGAACATATCTTTCCAAATATCTGAAATTATATTTCTTATTAATGATTATTATTCTTATGATAATGAATATTATCATTTCACTTTCGCTTAATCAAGCTTGCCCAAGGCGAGAGTATCTTTTTCAAAGCACTGCTGACTTTAAAATAACCCTTGATTGACTTTTACATGGATGGATGAATGGATAAGATTTTTAAAATAGAGAAACACATATTGAATTCAAGGTAGTAAAGAATTTGGCTCCTTTTGAAAAGCCCATATATTCTTAGCATGTTTTCGCAACTTAACATGAAAATATAATTTCAACTGATATGAATCATTAAAAAAGGAACATATCAGAAAGTCTTAAATTAGGTCTTTACCATGAAGAAAAAGCAATATTTTTCTGCCCCAAAAACTTAACAAAAAAAGGGATTTTTTTTAATAAATAAATATGTCTGTTGCCTGATCTTGTATAAACACGGTATATTTGATAATGTGTCGATGGAATAAAACTGCAGAAGAAATAAAAGAGAAGCAGTTGTGTAGATTGAGGGGGGGGCAGTATTCATATGAAAAGTATTAAACAGTTACTGCAACATTTTTTTTTTTTTTTTTTTTTTTCTAGTGGAAAATAGACCTATCAATATAGATATACCATTCTATACCAAACTACGAACAATAAAACATACATTTTACAGGTCTATCCTATGTTTCCTTTTCTCATAAAATTTCTCCTGAATTTTTGGGTTCAAAATTTGACTTTTAGATAATATTTCTATCAAAAAGAGCAACGATTCTAGGTTATAATAACTCACCTTCCAGCTGAAATAAGTTGTCCCTTGGGAATTGGAGCTGGAACTCCTTAAAGCTTGGCTGCAGTCTGGAACAATTTGGTCGTCTTCGAACACGTTATCCCTAAAAAAAAGGAAATCCCTTTCCATAATTCGAACAACTGCCCCTGATCCTAAAGGACTGTCGTTGGTCGCCCAGTTCGCGGATTTGTGGCCCGTCTCTGTGATCGGTGGCTCCCACCATCGACTACGACCGCTGCGGGGCGATATCAACAAGTGGTTTCTGAATGAAGCGTGAGTGCCGCTCGCTCTATCGCGAAAACTTGGCTCCTCCCCTTTCTTCGCTGACGTTCTGCTCTGAGCTGCTCTGTCTTACCCTCCACAACCTCTGGCTCATTCTTTTTCCTTTTTCTCGTAAGAAGGGGAAGGGGAGAAGGGATGCTCGTTCTCAACTGACCCCAAGGCGAGAGGGGGTGAGAGATAAGCCCTGCACTCTGTTAACCACTGGAGGGCAAGAGCTTAGTGGACGCAGTTCTAAGCTGATTCCAAATGACGTTTAAAAACAGCGCGCTCGTTGCTGTAACTAATCATGTACACCGTTCAAGGTCTTGTTTTATTATAACCTTCTAATATGAAATAACAAAGTCAATACACTATTTTTGCCTATAGAAAAGTTATATAAAGTTATTCCCGTGTATTTATTAATCGGAACCCCTAATTACTTTCACTGTACTTTTTTGTTAATCATTTCAGCAAATTCATTGATCGTATCATCATAGTTAATATTCTTATCGATATTATATTCAATGAAAATTTTTTATTTTTTTAACTTTTCTGTCTAATAGCCGATTGTAAATAATTCTTAATTAATATTAACTTTCTAAAACTTATTATTTCAAGATACAACAAAAATAAATAGACGCACATAATAATAATAATAATAATTTCTGTTACCAACTGAAAAATCGGTAGCTGTATCAACTGAAGAATCTGTATGAGCCCCTCGCGTTGTGGAAAAATGTCGTCATCTAGGGCCACCAAATTTTAAACACACTTTGTCTTCCGGCCGTACATGTGCATCTCGAAGCCCGAATTTTCAATTTCGAGTTTGTTTCTTATTTATTTTGTATGTTACATACATTTAAGAAACTTCTAATTAAGAACTCAGCGGTATAAAAGCTTTTTATTGCCACTAGGCAAAACCAATACATTTGTCTTTCGAACTTAACAAACTCAGCAGTTTAAAAGAGATGTATCGCCAATGCCTGAATTAAAGTATTTTCATCTTTTAGAGTATTTTCAGCAAAGCGTAAGATATGTAATTTTTTTTCAAATATATTATTTCAAATGTATTTATTAACATACTACTAAGCAATTTAAAAGCAATAAGCTCAGAATGACTCTAGTTATTTTTAGGCTTTTGCCTCTATAAAGGCCATAGACAGTGGTCATTTTATTATGAAAGCACCTAAAAAGCGGCCTTCGTTACCTCCTACGGCATTACTAGACCACACAGCATGCATTAAAGCAAAGATTTTTTCTGTGATTTTCGCCAATATCCGTAAAAATGTCTTGTGGGGTGAAAATGGTTGTAGAAAAAAATATCACCCGGAAAAAAAGGAACGGAAAGATGGTCACCGGAAAATAAAGAAACGGAAAATAAGTCACCCTTCGTCTGCAATGGGAAATTAAAGACATGTTTAGAAAGATCGTCAGGCTGGGAGATAAAAGTTTTATCACAGCAACCGTAGCTTCGGTTAACCGGAAACTTCCGAGAATAATTGCAGGAAGATGTGCGGGCTGTTGCTTCTCCCTTATGGTAAAAATAGAGTGGTGTCCAGTGGGCGAAGGTGGGTTGTCCAGCGAGTGTTATTGTCAGGTCATTAGTAACTGCTCCCCTCGCATCCCAAGTAGTTATAGCGTTAAGCTGCGGTTTAGTGAAGCATTGATTGTCGCATAATTGAAAACGAATACATCTGAGCTTTGGTATAAAACAGTATTACAACAAACAGTTGTAGATGCAATTTAAAGTCACGGTTTGCGATAAGAATAGTACTCAATTTTTTAGCTAATTAATTGTCGCATATTTTTCCCCCCTCGTTTGATTTTAATTAAAAGTAACGTATTTGCACAGGAAACAATTGTTTAATTTTGCATTTAAAGCTAAATAGGAAAACAAAAAAATCATAGTTATTAAAATTTAAGAGGTTTATTTCAAAATTATATTAAAATTTTAAAATCTAATTAAAATGAATCCTATAACCATGTGATCTGGATTTAAATATTTAATATACAATGAACCCTCTTGTGGCGACCTCTTCCAAAAGAATTTCCCAGTGTAGAAATAAACGCTTGTACTGAGCATTATCTCTCTAAAACAACCACCTCCACCGAAGACCAAAGTAATTGAAAATGTAGATGATCGTCTAACAGAGGATTTAATATACTTTTACAATGCACCAGTGCGTGATCCACCTAGATTCGGACTATCTAGTAGCCCATAAACGATTGGCGACCACGTCCCTAAGACGATCACTTCCAAAAGTGATCAGCATTTCTAAATGTATAAATAAACACCTGCACTGAACATCATCTTTCTAAGGTGATCACCTCCACAGAATACCAAAAATCAACTAGAAACATGGATTGATATCTTAGAAAGATTTTTTCACTCATAGTAGTTACATTCATTACAATTACGTGTAAAGCTTAAGGAAACTTATAAGAGGCTGAACAGTTAAGTTGCTGAATACTGGTAGTTAGACCTGGGTTCGATTCCTAGCAAAGTGGCTTTTCATGATTTCCCCCTTATATAACGTGGTTACGACCGAGTTTTCCTTAGAAAGCCCGAATTAGCTCTGTTTCCGCGAGTCCTCTTTCAGCGTTTTTTAAAATTCTTCATATTCCCGCGAAATTGGAGAGTACAGTACCCCTCCTACAGCTCCTAAGGAGATGTCACAATGAGTCATTAAGAAGAGCTGGGCAGTTTCTTCGTGAATAAGTTAGTCTTCGTAAGATTTAAGACATGTCTTAATTTAGGTTCCTCTTGAAATCTTAAGTTTCATTCCATTTGTAATTCTGCTACAATATTAGCTGTTATTTGGACATCTTATTTTAATCAATATGAATGTTTTAGACATTATTGGAACTAAAAGAAAAAAACCTTTAGCCCTTAATAAAGGTTATCATTATCGAATTCAGAATAAAAATAAGAAAAAATGTAGGTTATTGGATTTGCATAAATGAAAAAATTAAAAGCTGCAGAAGCGCAATTAAGACCAAAGAAGACATCGTTTTAGAACGAATATTTATTCTGCAAGATTTTATTATAACTCACCTTTATGCAGAATTTTGGAAGAATATTATTTTTTACTCTAGGAAACAATCTTCTAGTGCATTGCCAAAATCATTACAGAGTTTGCACATCACTCTCCTTTCAAACACAGTATTATCTTCATTCATGCGAAGATCTGAGATCGTAAATATTTTTCGATTATTTATTTTAAAAATTCTTATTTTAATTTTTTTTTTTCCTTTCCTACCTTTCGGGAGAGGTCAAGGTCCATTCGACCTCCCACTATGTAATCCCTTTGGGAAGGGGGCTAATGAAGACTGATGATTTCGCGGAAACAGGAATGATTTTGACAACCGCGGAAACAGGAATCGCAGAACAAGGGTGACACCGAAAGCCCTCCACGAAGACAACTCTTTTCTTAGGCAGATAGTTTTCGTGAGCTTTGTTATAATGCAAACCAAATTAAACCAAACCAAACTAAAGAAACTTATTCCTTTTACTCTCTAAATTGAGCCCCAAATAAATCATATATGGGAGCTTTTCGTAATCAGAACCTAAAACGTATCAGAACGGAAAATTAAATAAGTTTAATTATTTAACTTAGTTATACAGACTTCTAGTTTTTTATTTATCCCCAGTTTCCAAAAATCTGAGCATTAAAAATCATGTCATAGCAAACATAGATCGATAAGTTTGAAATTCAGAGATTGACTTTTATGACCTTCGACCACTAGCAAATGAGAGGTAAAAATCGTTGAATATTGGTAGTTCGACTGGCGGATGGGCTGCTTACAAGGAAATTTTCGTGGTTTTCTCCATGTGTAACATAAATACGAGTCAGTTTCTATCAGAGGTATAAAATAATTTTTGTATCAGCTCCACACTATAAAGAGTCCTCCATGAAGGCATCCATATCCTCTCGGCAGATAATCTTACGGTACTTTGACGTAACCTAATTAATCTGATTTTGATGATCATCCTAATCTACTTTCATATTGAAGCTTGTGATGCTTTAATTAATGTTTTATTTATCATAAACTGTGTTAACTACTTTAAATTAATCATTTAGCAACTTTCTGTTAGATTTCCTTTTTTTAAATTTTTGATATTTTAGAAGCCTAAATATGTCTGATCGTTTTAGTAAGACATATTATTTGTAACTGTTTTACATATAAAAACAGAGAATCTCATGATGACGAACTAGAAGAGTGTTCCCTACAACATAAATAAGCAGGCTTTTTTTACATAAGTCTTACATAAGTGGCCCAAATCACCTGAAGCCGTTAGTGGTCGCATTAGAAGTCTCATTATACGTATTTGCTTTTTTGCGGCATTTAATAATTTCAGTTTATTTAACATGTCTGCCTTATAAATTATAATATTGATTTTTCAAGGTCGTATAACAACTTTCAATATAAATTAAAATAGTAATAATCTTTTACATTCCATTCGGATTATTGTATTCGTATGAAAGCCTTGAATCAATTGTTTATCATTATTTCGTACGTATAGTACGTATAGCAAAAATTCAAAATCCTTAATTATGATAATTTTCAATATTAGGGCTGTAAATGCCAAATTATTTAATTACAGATTTAAAATTTGTGCATTTACAATGAGAAAATATAATTTTGGAGCTTTTTAACGTCTGAAGCTGGTTAAAACTGATTGGAACGTGTTGCAGTCTCAGTTTCGAATGCAAAACCATTCTCACACTGATTTGTTATGCGCTTAATTTAAGTAACAAAATAACAAAATTTAAATTAATAAAACAAAATTTTTTATTTATACCATTTTTTTAAAATTTGTGAAAATAAACAAAAAGAAAAAATTATTTATAGATTATAATTATTTTCTGTTTATCTTTTATGACAATTAGTATATTTTTCAATTTTCCTCAACTGTCAAATCTTCTAATCTTCTTATATTTCTAAATCTCTATAGATTTTTTACATTCCCGCCCCAATTTTAGAGTTTTTACGTTAATTATTAGAATCGTTTGATGTAATTAATCATGAATGTCGTACATGGATTCGCTAATTTAGA